GGTTTCAGTAATTCCTCTTGGTTACATTGCCCTTGATCAAGCCCTACCAGGCCCATTACATCCTCCTCGCCATTAATTTTGGATCACTTGTTGTTCCCTTGTCCCTGGGTTTGTTAATCACTTCCTTTCCCCAACCTCCCCGTCTTCCATGTCCCCCCCACTGAGAACCATGGGTCCCCTTGTTGTTTTCTCCTCCAGATTGTTTATCCCGCCTATCTTATCTAGATAGAACTGCAGAGATAATAATATGCACAGAAAACAAGACAGAGCAAAACAAAGCAACAAAAGAAAACAAAACAATAATAAAAAACCCAAGGACAGAAAAAGAGAAAAGCCTGTAAATAGTTTAAGATCTGTTTGTTGACCTTTAGGAGTGTTTTCTGGAGGCTGTAACTCTTGATCGGAATAGAAAGCCTCACCTTTCTCGGATGAGACTTTCCAAGGAGTGCCGGGCAGTTGCAAGCTGCTGACTTCGCAGCTCGCAGCACACCAGGTAACCCACTCGTCCACCAAGGCTCCTTTATTTCAAAAGTGACTGGTTTAAACTGCTCTGAAAGGGATCATAGAAAGTCCTGGACACAGTGCGTGAAAGACGTGGAACAAAAGAAACCTGCCTTGCTGGTTGGATAGAGACTGGTAGACACCCCAAGACTAACATCCTTGGTCACTCTTTGGTTCTAGAACTCAATTTTCAGCCTAAAACATTCAGGTCCATAAGGGAAACAATAACACCCCTGAGATGAGCACACCTTAGATGAATGGACCATGTGGGGCCCAGGTAGGCAAAGCAGTCTTTGCCCCAGGGCAAAGTTCAGAAGGGATGGGAAAGAAAGAGGGATGAGACAGGAAACACAGAGGGTCGGTGGGGTGGAGGCAGAAGGTGGAATGGATGATTTCAATGAAACAGAATGCATGTGAATCCTTAAATGTAAAACTGATGATCTGCTCTGTAAACCTTCACCCAATTCATTATACAAAGTCTTTTTTTTTTTTTAAAAAGTGGCTCGAAATACACTGTAGACTGATATGGCTTCCTTAGCATAACCAGGAGACTCCTGTTGTCAAATGGGATTACACCCACAAATATGTTGCTGCTGTTTGTTAAGTGCCGTCGAGTCCGCTCTGACCCCTAGTGACCCGTGCACAACGCACGGCATGGTGTCCTGCGCCACCCTCACAACGGTCCCTGTGCCTGCGCCCATTGCTGCAGCCACTAGGACAATCCATCTCCTTGAGGCCCTTCCTCTTTTCACCGCCCCTCCAGTTTTCCCAGGCATGATGTCCTTCTCCAGGGTCTGGTCTCTCCTGACATGTCCCAAGTAAAAGATGAAGTCTTTGTCATCTGACTCATGACCCTACACACAACCGAGCAAACAGGACACCATCCGCACCACCATTCCTCCTCGAGCCCATTGCTGCTGTCACTGTATCAGTCTCTCTCCATGGGCTTCCACTCTTTCACCAAGCCTCGATTTTACCAAGCATGGTGTCTGTCCTTCTGCAGGGCTCGATCCCTCGCGATGGCATGTCCGAAGTTACCCGAGACAAAGTCTCACCATCCTTATCTCCAAGGAGCATTCTGGCTGCGCTTCTCCCAAGACAGACTTGTTTCTTCTGGCAGTCTTGGGTGTGTCCCAGATTCTTCACCACCCACACATACAGAGGTTAGGACGTACAACATGTGTTTTGGGGGACACAATTCAATCCATAACAATACTTTCCCAGTACAACATGTGTTTTGGGGGACACAATTCAATCCATAACAATACTTTCCCAAACTATTTATGCTTTGCTGCCATTTCCTTTCTGGTCCCGTTACTATCGTCTCCCTCTGACCATTGCTGACTTGCAGAATAAAGACCAAACTCCACGAGGTGTCGAA